ACCAGCACCGGTGTCCTCCCCTTTCACCCACCGAAGACTCCCTCACCGGACAGCTCTCTGCGGTGACCCAGGAACTGACTCCACAACTCGTTCAAGTTGCTTTTTATTCAGCGCTGAGACGCACGGGGATAATTCCTCAAAGTCATGCGTGCCCCAGTGTTGTTTCCCTCTACATTTATTCTCTAAAGTTATTTGTATTCATAAGGTCGCACAACATGCCTGTACATATTCATGTTTTATCCCTGCTTCGTATTATAATGACCCAGAAGGTCCTCTGCGCCTGCGCAGTGCCCCCTCTGATCATGGGCAGGGTCTCAAGATGAAGTAACTGAGTCTTCCTCCTGTGGGTAGGGGTCTTCAGGATGAAGTAACTGAGTCTTCCTCCTGTGGGTAGGGGTCTTCAAGATGAAGTAAATGAGTCTTCCTCTTCTTGCACTTTTCACCTTTCAGTCTTCACGTGTGGCCTTAGGGTTTGGTCGGTGTCCCAGCCATAAACCGCCTGCTTCTCCCCCTTCAGGGGTCTGCTTTTCCTTATCAGTGGTTAGTGCCTTTGTTCTGCTTAGTAGGCATGATAGGTACAGACAACACTTTTGTTTAAGGAAGCGAATTCGTGTAACCCCCTTGTACAACCCCCTGCACACTGGTTAACCCTCTGCATCAGAACCAGCCCCCTGAGCGTGAGCTTCAGGTGAAGCAGAAAGTTCAACCACGGCATTGCTCCTCCCTAACGAGGAGGCTGCTCCATGTGGCTCCACCGCAGCCACAGCTGCTCCAGTGCGAGGGGGCTGCAATGGGTTCACACGGGGTGTGGTGAGTGAGGGGCAATGTGAGGCTCCCTTATCACAGAGGGGTTATTTGGGGTTGTGTGGACCTGGTAGATCAGGCAGTGCCACCACTCTCTCATTTACTCTTTGAACACGGTGTTATTTCCACATCCAGCCTTTGGTGCTGCAATTAATTCCATGTAATTGGTCCATCTTTGCCTGTTTCACTGTCCAGATGCTACGTTATCCCCCCATCCCAATTCTGACATCCACAAGTGAAGCCAACACCAAAAAACCAGCTGCCCAGACAGAAAATCATTTCACTTCCCCTTTTTATTTGTGCTCACCCCATACACTCACAGTTCTACAGATTCCCAGTTTGACTGATAGTGAATGGGCAGAGGGAAGGGGTTGGGGGGAACAGCTCTGGAGGCTTTGCTTCCATACACTTTTCCCCCTTTTAGCACTGCCCAGAGGGGCAAAGCACACGAGGACCCCCCTGAAGGCACAAAATCTCAAGTGCCAGGGATTGCAGGGCAGTAGGGCCTGGACACAGGGCAAGGAGAAAAGAGGTGCCCTGAGCCATCACCTCAAAGAGGGACCCAGTGAAACCAGCAGAAGCCCAGGACTCAGCACTAGGGTACGTGGCTGGTGTTTGGCTCTTGGTGCTTGTTTTCTCCCTGGGCCTCCATTGGTTCATGTGAAAACCAGGGATGACAACAGCCAGGCAGCAGCGGTGACGGCACCCCGGCAATGGCAGCAGCGGTGACGGCACCCCGGCAATGGCAGCAGCGGTGACGGCACCCCGGCAATGGCAGCAGCGGTGGTGGCACCCCGGCAATGGCAGCAGAGGTGGTGGCACCCCGGCAATGGCAGCAACAGTGACGGCACCCCGGCAATGGCCGCAGCGGTGACGGCACCCCGGCAATGGCCGCAGCGGTGACGGCACCCCGGCAATGGCCGCAGCGGTGACGGCACCCCGGCAATGGCAGCAGCGGTGACGGCACCCCGGCAATGGCAGCAGCGGTGACGGCACCCCGGCAATGGCCGCAGCGGTGACGGCACCCCGGCAATGGCAGCAGCGGTGACGGCACCCCGGCAATGGCAGCAGCCCCCCCGGCAATGGCAGCAGAGGTGACGGCACCCCGGCAATGGCAGCAGCAGTGACGGCACCCCGGCAATGGCAGCAGCCCCCCCGGCAATGGCAGCAGAGGTGACGGCACCCCGGCAATGGCAGCAGTGGTGGTGGCACCCCGGCAATGGCAGCAGCAGTGACGGCACCCCGGCAATGGCAGCAGCCCCCCCGGCAATGGCAGCAGAGGTGACGGCACCCTGGCAATGGCAGCAGCCCCCCCGGCAATGGCAGCAGCCCTGCCCAGGCTGGCCCCGCTCACAGCAGTGACCCTACAAGCACTTCCCTCTTTGCCACCTCAGGCCGGTTCAATGGAGTTATCCCAGCTCCCGCACACCTCCTGCTCTCCCAACCCTCTCAGAACAAGCAAGAGCTCCTGAGCCCCCCCGGTGCGCGGTGAGGGTAACGGAGCCCAGCTCCCGCTCACCTCCCTGCACGTTCTGCAGCCGAAGCGCACCCAGAGCAAGCCAGGGGTTATGAGGACCGATGGAGATGTCCACTTAACTCCTATGCACCAAGGAGACCTCCGGAACGGTGCCACCAACACGGCGATCCACCCCTCTGCACCTGAACTCCACTTGACCTGCCAGGACAAGACTGGTGCTGGGCTCTTGTATGGGGCAGCAGCACAGTATGCTACAGATTGGAAGGGACCTCAAAAGATCATCTAGTCCAATCCCCCACCAGAGCAGGAACACCTAGATAATGTTACACAGGAATGTGTCCAGGCGGGTTTTGAATGTCTCCAGGGAAGGAGACTCCACAACCTCCCTGGGCAGCCTGTTCCAGTGTTCTGTCACCCTCACTGAGAAGTTTCTTCTCAAGTTTAAGTGGAACCTCTTGTGTTCCAGTTTGTACCCATTACCCCTTGTCCTATCATTGTTTGCCACTGAGTAGAGCCTGGCTCCATCCTCGTGACACTCCCCCTTTATACATTTCTATACACCAATAAGGTCACCCCTCAGTCTCCTCCAAACTATAGAGACCCAGCTCCCTCAGTCTTTCCTCACCAGGGAGACGCTCCACTCCCTTTATCATCTTCGTTGCCCTGTGCTGGACTCTCTCCAGCAGGTCCCTGTCCTTCTTGAATTGAGGGGCCCAGAACTGGACACAATATTCCAGATGCGGTCTCACCAGTGCCATCACACTTGTGGTGCTGTATCTTGGACCATACGTAGCAGTCCTTGCCTTCCTCTCGCAGTCCTAAGGCAGCCGGTGTAGCCCTGGAGAGAGTGCTCGGGTTTGAGCTTTATTAAATGGTCATTTTCTCTCTTTGACCCTCCGTGTGCCAGACATTAAAGAAGCTACAGCTCATCCTGCCCCTTTTCCCACCTCACCCAACCCCTGCCCAGGGCACTGTGGGTCTTACCTGGGGTGAGGCACCGCATTCCATCAGGGAACTCATTTAGCTCCTGGCCTTCACCAGGGTGAGTGCTCGGGGGTTTACTTGGTCTTTTGTAGCTCTTAAGCCTTGCGATCTTTCCTGCTGCTGCTGTTCCATGTTTACTGAACCACTGCCATGTTGGTGGCACTGCTGCAGAGCTCACCAGGGGCTGCTGATGCCAGCACCAGCTTTGTCCTGGCCCCTTGGGTGTTGAAGCAGGGGCTGGACATTGGCACCCTGGGAGGTGTGCTCAGAGACACGGGAGTACAGGGGTTCTGCACCACTGCTGTGGAAAGTGTGTAGCACACAGGAACCCCAACCAACTCCAATTGGGAAACACCAACAGGAACATCTGGGATTTCTTGCATACACTGGTATGCCAAGGGAATCCCTCACACAGAAATGCACAAACACTGATGTTTATTTAGTTTTTTACTGCAGCCAGATGCAGGTTTACAAGTCTCCATTTTGAGGCCTTTATAACCGGTTACGTGCATGCACAACTTGGTGCCCAGCCCACATCATAGAATCCACCCCTCCAGCATCAGCTTCCCCAGACACCCTCAACACATGGGAGTTGAATGCAGTCTCTCCCAAGACCTCAGGGGATGAGGGTGCTGGTCTGCAGGGTCCTAGCCCATCGAGAGGAGCACTGCACACCTACAGGTACCCATCCTGCCTGCACCTTCTCTTCCAAAAGAGCAGGAGCCATTTAATGGGCAGTCCCTAGCACAAAGCATGTGCTATGGGAGGCCAGCAGAGGCAGCCACCCTTCTGCTGCTGCCATCCCACTCCTTGTAGCTACTGCATGAACTCAGCCTCAGCCATCACCTAACATCTGTCTGGTTCTCAATGTACCCACCTTCCCCCGTAAGACACATGGATTCTTTTCTGTTAGCAGCTCGTTGCAACCCATCACCAGTATCTGCAAGTGAGAAGGAAAGAGTTGCCATTCCTTCCCCGATTTCCCTGTAGCACAAAAGCAAAGCCCCAGGCTCATAGAAACAAATACAATTCACCTCCACTGCACTGGGCGGCAGAGAATGGATTGAAAGAAACCCCCTGAAGGAAGGACCTGGGGGTGCTCGTTGAGAAGAGTTTAACGTGAGCTCAGAAACAAGCCCCCTCCATGTGCTGTGCTCTGGGGAGATGCCCCTTGCAGTCCTGATCCAGCTCCGGGGCAACACAAGAGGCCAACAAGGAAGCTGGACAAGGGCCTGCAGGGAAAGGCCAAGGGGAATGGCTTTAACCTGCCAGAGGGGAGACTGAGATGAGCTCTTAGCAGAAGAGAGTGCTGGGACACTGAAATGGGTTGAATGGAGAAGCTGTGGCTGCCCCATCTCTGGCAGTGCTCAAGGCCAGGCTGGACAGGGTTTAAGATCACCTTCCAACCCACTCTACAAAGTCAGCATCAGAAATCACCTACTTGAAGCCAATCCAATTGTTTCCAGAAGCCACTCAGCTAGCTCCAGCACATTTCAAACACTGACAATTAGAGAACCATGGAACACAACCAACATCACAATTACCTCCTAAAGCAGTGCTTCGCTCTCCAACTTCTTCAGTTTAGAACTGGAAACAAAGAGAAAATGCATCTGACGTGTTTGTTCACGTGTTCCCCCTTCTCCCCCTGCCATGCACCCCCCAGGCCATGCAGAGCATGGGCCTTGTTTCCTGCATGGTTTATCTCCTCTGTCAATGCCCAAGGGCTCAGAGAAGCAGTAGGAATATGCAGGCTGCAGGCTCGAGGCCCGGCTTGTTCTCCAACGGCGTGGAACGGGACCATACGTCACGGGCCCGGGGGCCTACGCTCCCATGCGCCACACGGGCAGAGCCTGGAGAGAGCGACTTCTCCGGATGCCCACGTTGGAGTGAGCTGACCCACACCTTCAGCCCCAGCCCCAGCCCTGCCCTGCTCCCCAGGCACACAGCACAGCAGGTACTCACGTCCGGAGCTACGTAGAGCAGGACGGGGCAGCATCAGCAGCACCTGAGGGAAGAGGGCAAGATGGTGAGGAGCAGCTGAGGCAGTGCAGCACAGGGGGTCCCCTTGACGGTCAGTTACATCATAGAATAGTCTACTTATGCCTGGAAAGGACCTGAAGATATCTAGTTCCAACCCACTGGTTGAATCCCACTGAATGTGGAGACTCAGGGCTACAAGGATTCTTAAACTAGTATTTGGTTATAGTGTCTATACAGACTACAGATAAGGCTGCACCAACAGAACCAGATGTCTTCTCTCAAACATGGATTCAAAACTGGACCCTTCATCAGGGACTGTAGCGATAAGACAAGGGGGAATAGGTTCAAACTTAAACAGGGGATGTTCAGGTTGGAGACAAGGAAGTTCTTCCCCATGAGGGTGCTGAGGCGCTGGCACAGGGTGCCCAGAGAAGCTGTGGCTGCCCCATCCCTGGCAGTGTTCAAGGCCAGGTTGGACACAGGGTTTAAGATCACCTTCCAACCCACTCTACAAAGTCAGCATCAAAAAACACCTACTTGAAGCCAATCCAATTGTTTCCAGAAGCCACTCAGCTAGCTCAAGTTCATTTCAAATATCAGCTATTAAAGAGAACCATGGAACACAACCAACATCACAATTACCTCCTAAAGCAGTGCTTCGCTCTCCAACTTCTTCAGTTTAGAACTGGAAACAAAGAGAAAATGCATCTGACGTGTTTGTTCACGTGTTCCCCCTTCTCCCCCTGCCATGCACCCCCCAGGCCATGCAGAGCATGGGGTTTGTTTCCTGCATGGTTTATCTCCTCTGTCAATGCCCAAGGGCTCAGAGAAGCAGTAGGAATATGCAGGCTGCAGGCTCGAGGCCCGGCTTGTTCTCCAACGGCGTGGAACGGGACCATACGTCACGGGCCCGGGGGCCTACGCTCCCATGCGCCACACGGGCAGAGCCTGGAGAGAGCGACTTCTCCGGATGCCCACGTTGGAGTGAGCTGACCCACACCTTCAGCCCCAGCCCCAGCCCTGCCCGGGAAGGCACTGGAATGGGTTGCCCAGGGAGGCTGTGAATGCTCCATCCCTGGCAGCGCTCAAGGCCAGGCTGGACAGAGCCTTGGGTGACCTGGTTTAGTGTGAGGTGTCCCTGCCCATGGCAGGGGGTAGGAACTGGATGATCTTAAGGTCCTTTCCAACCCAAACCATTCTATGATTCTATGAAACTTGTTATTAATTAACTCCTAGTGATCAAGCCTAAGAAACAGGTAAAGATGAACGTCTCAGGGTCGTAAATTAAACCGAACGAGAGCACGGAGTTAACGGGAAACACTAAACACGCGTCGCAGTGCCCGTAACTAAAGGGCCTCTACAAAGGGATTACATGCATGGGCTGGTTTCTCCCCCCGACGAGCATCATAGAGCACTCCCAAAGCTCACAACGCCTGTGCCGCGGCTTTATCCCCCAAACGCGACAAGTAACGAGACGGCATTTCATGGGGAACGCGTGAGCTGCTCGGAGCGATCGGCAGGGCCCGGCGCGCACCGAAGGCCCCTCGCTAGCAGGCGCACGGCGCCGCTGCGTTCCTAGAGCCAGGCGGGACTTTTACGGTCACAGGAACCGCAGAGCACAGGGAAAGGGAAGGAAGGAAGCGGTTAAAGCAAGGGGACAGAGCCAGGACAGGACAGAACGGCCGGGCCCGTCTCCTCCCGTCCCCCCGCACTCACCTCAGCGCCGCTCCCCGCCGAAAGAGGCCGAGCGCGGCCGCGCTGAGGTATTTATAGGGCGCCAGGGGCGGGGCCAAGGCGCGCATGCGCGCAAGGGATGGTAGGGCGGGGAGCGCAAAGACGTCGGTGCATGCGCGGGGAGGAGGCGGCGCCATGGCGGGGCTCAGGCTGGGCCCGCCGCCCTTTCCCTATCGAGCACAAAGGGGAAAGCGGTTTATAAAAGACTCCTAAAATACTTTTATTCCATAAGTAAAATCTGTTGAGGAGGAGGCCGGTGACAATGCAGTGATTTCGACCGAGGGGGAGCTGTGAGGGGAAAGGAGCAGCTCCTGTGGTGCAGCGGCAGGCTGAGGGCCAAAGGGGAGTCCTTCCTCCTTAGGTTGGGGTTTGTACGCGATGCTTGTGAAGTCTCTTCTCTCTTCCATCCATGTGCTGAAATGATGACGTTTCCGAAGGGATGAGAAGGAGCAAAGGCAAATTTCACCCTCACTGGGGTGAAAACACACTAAAACCACATTAAAAGCACCGATTCCTGTCACAGCTTCCCCCCAGTAAAACGTTTTTAGAAGGCAACAATCAGTTCCTGGTTCTGGAATCTGTTAACCAAGCTTGGATAGCTCAAGACAATGTGTTAACATCACGGCAGGGGAGGGAATGGTTTATACATTTAAACTGGGGGGGGGTGTGTGTGTGTGGGTGTCTTGTTTTTTGTACAAAAAGATGCAGCATATGTTAATCTCTATACAATTCCCTTCCAGGACAACGAACCGTTGGTCAGTAGTGATTGAGGACATGAAGGACACGACAGAGACGCAAGGAAAACCATTAACATTCCCAATCCCATGCCAGGTCAGCATCTGCGCAGGAATCTCTGTACACAGCTAATATACACACGTGCTTCCTATAGCACATCCACTCGCCCTTCCTCAGCTTTCTAACACTAGAGCTGCCTTTTCCCCCCTTCCTCTTGGTCAGGAGGGGGAAGCGAAGGGACTGCATTCCCAAAAGGAGGACGTCCAGCTGAGAAGTGGGGCTGGGGAATGAACCCCTTGGTTCACCCTGGCAGGGATGCTGGCCCCAGAGCAGAGGGGTATTGCTGAGCCACACGAGGTATAGTGTTCAGTTCCAGCCTGATGGCACGTGAGACGGGTTTGTTCCAGTGAAATGCTACGTTCAGACAGGACTCCCCTTGCCCTGGCTGAAAGCCCTTTTCTGGATAAGGATTTCAAGGCAAATCGTGGAAGAGCCGAGGTTCCACCCTCACTGTATTGCCTCGGAGAGGGATGCAGAGAACTTCCAGGTCCTCTTCAGGTCTCTTGCTCCCTTCTTGGAAGATTATGGTCGATGGTACCTGAAAGCCAAGTGAAAAATCATCACATCCCAGCCTGGTTTGGGTTGGAAGGGACCTTAAAGCTCATCCAGCTCCAACCTCTGCCATGGGCAGGGACACCTTCCACTAGAGCAGCTTGCTCCAACCTGGCTTTGAACACTGTCAGGGATGGGGCAGCCACAGCTTCTCTGTTCAGCCCATTCCACTGTCCCAAGCACCCTCTTCTGCCTAAGAGCTCATCTCCATCTCCCCTCTGGCAGGTTAAAGCCATTCCCCTTTTCTTGTGCCTACAGGCCCTCATCCGAAGCCCCTCTCCAGGTTTCTTGTAGCCCCTTTAGCTATTGCAAGGCTGCTACAAGGTCTCCCTTAAGAATCCAAGTGTCATCCTTGGAACTGAGTTTAAATGGTTACTGAGGAACTGCAGATGGCCAAAGAGAGGCAACTCATTTATGTCTAAACTCCCAGCACTCACTAAAGCCATTACCATCACAGCCCACCCAAGGAGACAGAAGATAAGTGAGGAAGGTGCTCTCACTCACCTGGTGAACTGCTTGCTGTCCTCATGGACTTCCATTTCACAGCTCTTAAACTCATTCAACTCCTTCCGGATGGCAGCCTACAAGAGAGGGAGAGATCCTTTTTATCTCCTGCTAACCCATACATCTGTTACCCTCTCTCCATCTCGAGCTCACGGCAGGAAGGTGCTGTACCTCCAGCACCCCTGCTTGGGGCTGATCACCTTCCAGTGGTATGGACTTAGGAGCAGTTTTGATAACACAGGGCTGAGCCCCACACCTCCTTTGGTAAAAGAAGGAGCTCAGCCTGCAGCACCCACATTTGCAGTCCATTCACACCAGGCTGAGCTTCATCTGCCCAACCTCCTCCACACCCATGGCTGCACAGTCCCCACAAGTACCGGGGAAGACAAGAACAGATGATTTCCCTGCCAGCTTCATGCCTAGGCCTGTAAGGAACAGCACTCCTCTGACCAAGATCTGCACCTTGCATCCTCTTGTATCCCTGGGAAGCCAAAGCACAGGCCATGCTGCACGTGGACCATGCCCATGTGGGCTCCACAGCACCATGGATGGGGCATGAAGCAGGGCTGGGTACAGCACACATGGGTGAAGGGATACTGGTGATGTTTGGTGTGGATGCAGAGGGGAAGCAAAAGGAAGAGAGCAAATCTCCTTGGCTGCTGCTCTTTTGCATGGAACACCCAGATCTAACTCCCCTCCTCACACCTCGGGACATCAGACTCCTGTTACCTTGTCGGCTGGTGTTAGCTTTGTCCATGGCTTGTCTGCTCGCCGGTCATAGTCTTGAGCATCTGTTACTTCCACATATTCATTAAACCTCAGGATCTTCCTGGCCTGCAGCTCTGCCACTGTAGGCCTTTGGCTAAGCTGAACACCAGCAAGAGCAAAGAACAAAGAAAGTGAGTTTGTGCCTTGTCCACAAAGCAGTTCAGGACTCGGCATTCCCAGCAAAACTAAACCCAGTTTCCTCTCTGGGCCCGAAGCACAGCACTGCTAGGTCCTGCTCACAGCCTGCAAGGGAACAAACAAACCCTCCTACAAGTGTCATCTCGCTTGGATCATAAGGGCAGAACCAAGGCCACATTGCTAAGGAGAAAGATGACACCAGGGGCTTTGGGAACAGGGTGAGAGCCCTGTATGCCACCCATTCCCCACTTCAGCAATGGCAACACTCACATTTCACACCCACAAGCCCTTGGAAAGTTCTCAGCCACAAAGAACGGCCCCAAGTAACTCGGGTGCTAAAAGCAGCTCTTGCTCTGCTCAGCTTCTCCCACTCTGCTGTTACTTTATAGAAATGGACTTTGAGGAAGCTGGTGTGAGTCTTGGCCACTGAAGTGCTGTGTTAGAACAGCCAGGACCCCAGCAAACCCTTCCAGTGCCTGGTACCCAGTTTAGTTCTCATCTCACTTGTCAGATCAACCCCTGACAACCGCACCTGCAGTGCCAATGGCTCACCATTGGTGACAGCTCCACATTGCAAAGCCACTGCAGTCTGAGGGCACTGGGGACACTTACACAAGAGCCCCGTGACTTCCCCCCCAGCAAGGCACCTACGCCATGCTCATGGCCACCACCAGCCCCGCCAGCTCTGCCAGATGGTGCTCACAGCACGGGCGCCAGCAGTACCTTTCTGGTGAGCCTGCGCTTGATCTCCCGCTTCTCAGCCTGACGGTCAGCTTCATTCTTCGCTGCCAAGGAGAAAAACATGAACGATACATCTTCCCTGTAAGCATCAGAGGCTTTGAAAAGCACTTTCTGGACTTGGAACAAGGGGAACATTGAGCTACATCGGATTAGCTCCATGCCCGAAAGCTCGCTGTAGTGTATCTGTGCTCAGTACAGGTAAAGAGCAGAGTCCAGCTCAGCATCCCCTGACTGACAGTGGCAATATGGGTCCTTCCACATCAGAACTGAGTCATTCTCTCCAGCCCTATGTTAATGGCTGTACTGTCAAAATACAGCCAAGCTACACTGCAGACTGCTCCCCCCCAAAGCTACTCTACTAATAACTGAAAGAGACTAACAGCACAGATAAATATTGTAAATGGAAACTTCCTGAACTGACATTTCCCTTTCCTCCAGATGTTTATTTAAAGCTTTTGCAGAGCAAGGTATGGCCAAGAGAAACACCACAGCCTGAGCAATGAACTGCTGCTTTTTGGACCCTGCAATATAATGCTGTAATGTCTGGACCACAAATTCAAGCACAGCCCAAACAAAAACACCTTTCACAGTCCTGCTGTGTAACACCAAAGTCTTAACCAGTTCACAGGCTTTCCCCTGAGGTGTCAGGCACGGGACACGGAGACTTTCTAGAATGTGATGCTTTGAACTGTATTGCTCAATACGACTGCTAAGGTCTGAATTTAAGCTAGAACTGGTTTCTGATGGTAT